AGATATCTATCAGAATCTTCCACATGATCATCTTTTTAAATTCAGTGCACTATTTCAATACTAATTTTTCTTGACTATTCTGAAGCACTTGATACTGTTGATTTTTCTCATCTCCTTGAAATTTTATTTGCTTTAGTTTCACAATTTTGAACTGGGAGCCTTCCCTCTGTCTTTTTAAAGACACTTCTTGTTCTCTCTCCTCTAAAAGAACGTGTTTCTCAGAGTTCTGTCCTAAGCCCTCTTCTATTCTTCCTTGACACACTTTTGCTTCATCATCTTAGTGTTCTCATGGTTTTTATCACTATCTATATGTTGATGAATTTCAAAGTCCATATATCCAGCCTAGATTTATTTCGTATGCTTTAGTTATACACACAGAGAGCCATGCAAGGGCATGCACATCCTATAGGCATCTACCTCAGTATTAATGTGTCCAAAAATTGAACACATACTCCTCTTCCATCTCAATTTTGTTCTGTTTTTTCAGTATTCATGGTTTTAGTGAATGACACCACTACCCACTCAGTTGCCCAATCTGGAAATGTTATAGTTATCATCTTTGAGTCTTTCTTCTTTTTCTCCCCATGAAACCCATCAATCACCAAATCTTAAATATTTTACCTCCTACATATCTTTCCAATCATCCCTCTTCTCTCCACCCACATTGGCATTACCCTGACACAGGCCACCATCATCTCCTGATTTCTCTGATTCTACTCACATTCCCTGAAATTAATTCTCCATTGTGCAGCAAGGCAGATTTTTCAAAGATGCTGATGAAAGCATGATAATCATATTTAAAATCCTACATTGTATTTGAATTACCCTTGTTGTTGTTGTTAGGTGCCGTCAAGTCATTTCTGACTCATAGTGACCCCATGCACAGCAGAACAAAACACTGCCTAAACCCACGCCAGCTCCATGATCCCTGCTATACTTGAGCCCATCATCGCAGCCACCTTGTCAATCCATCTTGTTGAAGGCCTCCCCCTCTTTCTTCGACCCTCCACCCT